TTAATTTTTTCTATAAGTTTCTTTTTTTAAAATTTTATACTATATCAATAATAAAAACAAAATTAATATTAGTTTTCATTCACCACTGAAATAATACCATCAGATAATTAATTATGACTTGCATTATCCGATCACTCAATTGATTCATCTATTACAGTGGATATAATTGATAAAATTTTACATTCACACACACACACACACACACACACACACACACACTGTTGACCCGATCCGCAGTTACACAGTTATTTAGTTTCCTGAAAAAAAAACCTGAACCGTTTTCTTTAGGCGGCTAGTGTGCAAAATTGATATGTTATAGAGTTTAGAATTTAATTTATAGTTTGCACACTAGGACTTCTACTTAAGTATACATATTGTTCAAATAATATAGGGCTCTAATGGAGTCCCGATTATTGATCTCACAGGGAAGCGAGACAAGAAATCATTTAGGCTAAGTTCTAGTCTACTGCTATCAGGTCTTAGTTTGGAATGTTGATTAAAGTTTTTTTTCTAACAACTACTCTTAAATACAAAAAATAATCTAAAGTTAAACCTAACTAGATAAATTGGTTTGGTAAATTTTGAGATGTAAAAACTATATTTCTCTTGTGGTGACCTATATAATGTGTAGGAATAAGATGCTTAGAATCTAATGTGACCAGTGACAATAAGAGCACAAATCTAAGTTACCCTCTTCCAAGTGTATAACGTAGCTCAATTAATCTAGGGTTGATTCCTTAAAATAACTAGATTATCATGAAGAAACTTTTAGCTAGTCACCCTAGAGTCACCTTCTTCTAATATCCCTCTAATTGGCTTAATCTTAGATTTAAGGTACGAAGCTCTATATCAAATTGATTAGTAATCTAGTCTGTCACCCTAGAAACATCAATTTGCACCCATCAACGAATATCTTCTTAACATTGCATTGAGTATTATGACTACTTTTTCTTCACTCATTAGTTCAATGTGGTTCCTCCTAGTTAAAACCATTTCCCTCCCGGAACTTATGAGTTTACAACAAATTTTAACTTACTAATTGACCAGATTGATTAGTAAATGAAACATGAAGTAAGAACCATCACTATGATATGAAAAACTATTCTAGCATGCGTCCTAACATCCTAAACATTCATCTAATTCATTGCAAAAGAAAAGTACAAGAATTCTACTTCACTACACTGGTGTCACACAAAACAAAAAAACTTCATTAAATAAAAAAAAATCTACTAGATAAATGTTTACAACAAGTGCAAGATAATGAAAAACACAAGATTTAGTTTTTTCCCTCTGAAAGAAAGATGAAAATCCCTCCAACAAAGTCTCATGCTGATCTATGCAATGCTAATGCAATCCTTATAGATATCTCTCAAAATCCCTTCACCAATCTCTCAAGAAAAGGTGAAAATCTACATTTCATACTCCTATCTACGACCTCTCAGTCTTTCTGGAGAATTCTCGGACTTAGACATGCCAAAAAATGTTTTTCCAAATGTCTAGATCCATCACATAACGCCTTAGAGCGTGCATAAATCGCCCTTGGATAGTTCGGGCGCCTAGGTGCCAATCTGTGGTGCCTAATTGCCGTCTTCTCTGTTTTCTGGGTGGAAACTGCCGCCTAGGCGCCACCCTTCTGACAACACCCTCATTTGCTCCCGTTTGTCTGTATTTCACCCCATTTTAGCTCAAATCTGCTTCAAGCATTATACCTGTAAGATAAATATGAAAATAACATTTCTTTAAAGTGCTATTTCATTCAAAAACACGTGATAAATGTAAATAAAATAAAATATAAAAAATATATATCATGTCTTCAAAAGAATATTTATTAACTTTAATCTTTTCAATGAGATCATATTTAATCATCAATTATTCTTGTATTGGTATGTAAATGATAAGATTTAACAGATGTAAGAGCCATCCCTGATAATCCTAAGAGAATTATTCTAGTATTCCTCAATATCCAATGATGTGTATAAACTCTTATGCAATATTCTTGTTGGATTGTAGTTTAGTTCATCCCTAATTTGTTACTTAAGATCTTTAGTAAAACAAATAATAGAAACTTGCATAATACTCAAACTTTCCATATTTATTTTATGTACAATCTTTAAATTAATCATATCAAATATTGATGATACAATGGATTCGTATTGAATATCAAAAAATGAGTTTTTTAAACAAGTAGGAAATCCCAAGTACTAAATGGGCCTTATGGGCTTAATGGATCAAACCAACCGGTCATGCATTTAATGATTCGACGCTGACCATATCAATCGTACTCCTTAACCTTACCTTTGGAAGTGATAAACTACAAAGTCTGTCACCCATAAGGATCACATGAGTACCTCCGAAGTACGCCAACATTTCTTCAAGTTTCTCAGAACAAGTTTATCCAGCCTTAATCTTTAAGCGAGTTTTTCTAATAAAGCTTTCACATTGTTCGAGCTCTTATTTCAAACCCACACGAGTTGGTTGGACCTTCCCACCAAACTCGCACGAGCTGGTTAGACTTTGCTAGTGCCTTGGCTTCAATTCATCGAGAAAAGTCATTGATCATTACTAGAACGAACTTGCGTTGTCCTTTACCTGGAGGGAAACAATTGAGGTCCATCCCCATATCGCGAAAGGCCAGGGAGTTATAATTGATTAAAGCTTAATAGAAAGTTGTAATTGCAAGGAAGCCAACCTTTGGTATTGCATGTTTGGAATAAGAGCTGGGGTAGTGTGAGAGAGCTTGATTGGAAAAGCTAATGTAAAGATTCATGTTGGATGAACTCATTCTGAGGAACTCACGGGAATATTGACGTACTTCAGAGGTACTCGGATCATTTGGGATGAAAAGGAACTCTACAGCTTGCCACTTTCAAAGGTATAAATAACGGGTACGATTGATCTGGTCAGCGTCAGACCTTTAAATACACGATTGGTGGGCTGATCCACTAAGCCCATGAGACCCATTTAATATTTGGGATTTTCTGTTTGTTTAAAGAAAATTATTTGGGATATACAATGTGATTGTAATGTAAAGTTGTGAATAAATTATCCTAAAAGCACCTTATTTTTTTTAGAATCAAATTGATAATAATATTCAAAAAAGTATTCCAAATTATTCTAATACCATAACTTGGATTGAACATAGGAATGTAATTTTAAGTGTTATGATAATTATGTTGTCTTCGACAATAACTTATCCTATTCGGTTTGAATTGCATCGTCAATTAAATCTTTTATTAACTAGTTAATGTCATATATTTAGTTGACAATGGTGCAACTTCGCTCTGATTCCAATTTCATATAGGATGATTTAGGATTTTAATTTCTTAATATAACTAAAATGGTATAATGAATATAAATTACACAAATAAAATTAAGATTTTTAGTATAGAGATTATGAAATATTCAAAAACTTGTTCTTGAATACAAACTATAGAAATATGAGAATCAGAATCAAAATGATAATGCAATGATTGAATGAATTTGAAGAAATTAACAAGAAATTTAAATCATGCAAACTAATTTGCAATTTTAAACTTTGACCACTATTATAATTTTAGTTGTATCAAATTTGAACGAAATCAAGATTTCTAACATGTCAATAATAAATTATTTAGAAGAAATAAACAAAATCTAAGCTTCATGCTGGCACAAGGAGATAGCCCTCCCTTGCTTTAGGCAAGCCACATTTGTACCATAATTGGAGGGATCAAATATTCAATTTGCACACACAAGTTTGAAACTAGATTCTAAAATTTTATTGAACCAAAGCTATCTTAATTATATGCGTCTTACCATGTATTCATTGACTCATCTCTAGTTTAGTAGATATGATTGGCACAAAATTTTCTCATTTTGATTCCTGTTAATTCAAAATTCATGTCTTGAGAGCACCAAAATTTTAGAGCTTTTATTGAGTAGATGATCTCCGATGAAAACCAAAGCAATAAGCTGATGCCAATCTAGTATGGGAAGTCATAACAACAGATCACATGCAGATACATGACGTGCAACAACATGGTCCTTATATTGCCACATAAATAGGATCATTAAGGAATCATAAATGCAACCACTGCGCATAAAAAAATGGGAATCACGATCATTCTTGTACCTTACGGCACACAGCCATTAAATTTTTCTATTGTAAAACCTTATCAACTATGGAGATCTCCTACTACTGAACCTTCCTACCTTAATATAGATAACACGACACTTGAACTGAAATCACAATGATTTAAGATTCATCACCAACCTGATTGGCTTGATCCCATGCCAGGCAATACTAACCAACCTATTATTAGAGATCATCTAAATAGAGAACACATCCTGGTTTCACTAGTGTTCATCAGAGGTGCATAAAAAGTAGCTAGAATTGGGAACTAAAAAATTAAAATAAATTAACTAAAATAAATTGCTAAGTCTAGTTACTAGATCGAGGTTTTCTCTGGTTAGTAAAACAATTTCATCATTAATTGCTGTAGCAAATTATAATAGATCGCCATCAATTCATAATAAATTAACTAAAATATATTAAGTCGATTTTTCCAACCATAAATTTATTGATCTCCATCAATTGGAGTGAATTGAGAAAAGTAACTTCCATTTACATGGTCGCTCACGAATTATCAAATGCACCAGATAGTATGCTCTTGGATTGGCTAGTTCACTCTTAAATCAATTGAATTGGAAGGAGAACCAGGTAACCTTTAAGAAATTTAGCTTGAATGGAAAATGACAGGGTTTGGAATATTGATTCATTTGTTGTTGCCTCAGCCTATTCAGAAGTTCTCCACAATTTTTTTGCTTTTTAAGTAACATTAAGAAAAGTTTGATTCTCATGTTTGTGAGCATCCTTGACCAATTTAAGAAACAAATTGGCACCTTTAATGTGATTATGATATGAGATCTGATTTCTTTTACAGATGGAATTAAACTTCATAATTTTCAAATAGGCATAGCTTGTTATTTGTTTTTGTTTTTCTGACGTGTTAAAGCTTATGCAGGATAATGGACTTGTTCCTATTGTGGAGCCTGAGATTCTTCTTGATGGAGACCATGCAATCGAAAGGACTCTTGAGGTTGCAGAGAATGTGTGGGCAGCGGTATTTTTTTACTTGGCCCAAAATAATGTGGTTTTTGAAGGCATCCTGCTAAAACCCAGCATGGTAACTCCTGGAGCTGAACATAAGGAGAAGGCTTCTCCAGAGAAGATTGCCAAGTATACACTCAAAATGTTGAAGAGGAGGGTGCCACCTGCAGTCCCAGGAATCATGGTAAAAGGCCTTAGTTTTACTACCGCAGATTTATTTTGTTATAAAATTGTCCTTGGCCTGTCTGTTTTTGAACCGGAAAGCTGAAGTTCAAAGGTGTGATAATTACTCTATGAAGACTTGGTATCATCATCATTTATCATCAGGGAGGAGGCTTTATGTGAATGAGTGTTGGGTGATAGCTAATTTACTAATTGCTTACTTTACTATAGTAGAAATGAGAATGTTTAGATAAATTTGTGGTAAAGCAAAGAGGGTGTGGTGCGTAAATCTGAACCCCTCTTCTGTACGCACCATCATTGTTTGATCTATTACACATGCCAATCTTGAACTCGAGGGGTCTAATCATGTGTATGTAGAATCAGGTCTACCGCTTAGATTTGTTAGGATAGTGCTATGCTCATTGAATTGGTAGCATTCAAAGACCAACTCCAATTTTTTTATTTGGCTTTCTAGGCTATGCTGGTAAAAATTGATCACCCTCTAAGGGCTAAATTTGAGATCCTTCATTTTTGCTTTAATTGAAAGAAATGCCTTCGGGCTATGGAGGAAGTAGTGGTACCAATGGGCGGCGAATAGAATAAGAGAAACTTCAATTTAAATTGTCGAACGAAACTATAAATTCATCTTTTTCCTATTTGTTAAAAGGTAATCGTAATGCATTCATTTCATTGTCCTAAGAAGTTCTAGTTGTTGACAACGTGTTTGCTGGTCATTGACTTATTTTCTATGCCATGAACAAAGCAATTAGGTAAAAATGTCGATAAATAGTAGTGGAGATGAGATGAGGTAAATCTTAAATTGGATTTGGACTTGGTGGTTGGTTTTATCCAAGAAGTGTAATATCTTGAGTAGATTTTCATTGTCGTGGTAACATTGTCAAGTGCCAAGTGGAGGATGTTTATCAAATTCATGAATTTTTTTATATCCACCATAATAACTCTTATTCCTTATGAACATAGCCAGGTACCATATGTTAAGTTCTTTAGATGTCTTATTTGGTTATACCATGAAGGAAAATGTTAGAGGCAAAATTCTCTTATTCCTTAATCTTCAAATTACAACGCCTCTCATTAGGGCAAACATAATTCCTATAGTTACAACTTACCAAAGATAGAACAAACACATAAGGAAAGAACTACAACATAATAGTAGAGAAATAAATGATGATAAATCTAAATAGGAAACACATAATTCCACATTCCCTCTCAAGTTGGTCATAGATGTTTTAAAAACCCAGCTTGTTGCCTGGAGGAAGAGATTTTATGAAGATATCGACAACTTGCGGATGTGTCTGAATGTCGATTAAGTGAATAACACCTCCATTGCTCTTCTCAGAGATAAAATGTTTATCAATCTTAATGTGCTTGGTCCTGTCATGATATACAAAATTCTTTGCAATACTAATGACGGCTTGGCTGTTACAAAACATCTTTTTGGGATGAACCGCAAAGTATCCCAGTTCTTTTATTGCTCTTTGAATCCACATTCCTTCATAAATTTCGGAAGCAAGTGCGCGATATTGACATTCTGCAATGCTTCTAGGGACCACTGCTTGCTTCTTGCTCCTCCATGTGATAAGATTTCCCCATACACAGGAACAATACCCATAAGTGGATCTTCTATATGTGAGTTCTCCTGCCTAGCTACCATACGTGTAAACCTCTACATTCCTATTGTCAGATTCCTTAAACAACAAGCCTCTGTTAGGGGTCTTCTTAGGAAGTCTTAATATTTTGTACACCATCTTCAAATATTCTCTATTTGGACGGTTCATATGTTAACCCAGTATGCCAATAGAGTAAGCAATGCCAGGTCTAGTGTGTGACAGATAAATAAACTTACCCACTAATACTTGGTATTTATCTTTTTTTCATTGATGTCTTTTCTCCCCCTAACAGTAATTTTTTGTTGAAATCCATAAAGTCTTAGTTTGTTTACAGTTTAGCATTTCTGTTTCTTTTATTAAGTCTAGGATGTAATTTCTTTGGGATATGTCAATACCCATCTTGGACCTGACCACTTCTATGGCTATATAGTATCTCATTGGTCCTAGATCATTGATTTCAAATTTAGAAGAAATAATTTCCTTAATCTTTCTAATCTCTTTGTCATCATCAACATATACAATTAATATCACTTTCTTACCTCCCAGTGTATGTTTTATAAACAATATATTATCTACTTGACGTTGGATGTACCCATTAGACTTCATAGTTTGGTAAACTTGTCAAACCAAACCCTTAGCGATTGTTTGAGACCATAAAATGATTTTTTAAGCTCATAAACTCGATGTTTGTTTGAGTTATCTTCCAGCCCTGAGAGAATTTCCATATACACTACTAATATGTTTCCTTTAAAAAATGCATTATTATCAAGTTGATGCAGGTCTCACTCTTTATTCACTGCCAAAGAGAGAACTCTTATGGTGCTTAATTGGGCCACTTGAGCAAAGGTCTCTTGCTAGTATATCCAATAAGATTGAGTGAAATCTTTAGTCACCAAACTAGCCTTGAATCTCTTAATGCTCCAATCTGTTCTATTTATAACATGGAACACCCATTTGCATCCAACCGGTCTTTTATTTAGAGGAGTTTTTTAAGGTCGATGTGACATTTAGGCAAGTGTTTGGATCTCTACTTCAACTGCCTTTTTTCCATCCCGGACTTTGAAGTATTTCATTAATTGAGTTGGGTATCTCCACATTGTCAATATTATATACAAAGGCTTTTTAAGTTGATGATAACTTCCCATAGACAACATTACTTCTGGAAATGATAATTTGAGCAACTTCCTTTGTCTTATTCGTTGGATTCCACTTTCCTTGGAACCTCATGTAGGGTGAATTCAGGTTTAGTTGTGGACAATCCTGTGTTTGCATATTGTCATTATCCAGTTCAGTGGATTTCTTTCTCCTTGTATACACACAAGACTCCTTAATTTTAATCTATGGTTGGATGTTCCCAACGGGAGGATTTTTGGAAGCAGGATGGTTAGAGGGAAAGAGAATAAGTTGTGATGAATTTTGATTAGTGTGGATATCCATAGTAGTATTGGGTAGCATAATAAGTTGTGATGACTCTAGGTCAGTGTCAGTGTCTAGAGTGAAATCTTAAGTCTAATATTCACCTAAGATCTCTCCATGAATATCAGTTTTAGGATAATAGGTTTGGCTTTCAAAGAAGGTACTATCTATGAAGTTATAATGTTTTTTCATAATGGATGAATAACACTTGTACCGCTTTTTGTTTGAAGCATACCCCTCGAAGATACATTTGATGGATTTTGAGTCAAGTATTGTGTGGTTTAGTTGGTGAATGTGAACAAAAGAAACATTGGATGAGAAGATTCTTACGTTAATATATTTTTCCATGATAATATCGAGTGGGGCTTTGCATCCAAGTATTCTATTTGGCATTCTATTAATGAGGTAGGTTGTCCTAAACAATATTTTGGGGCATTTTGAGAGAGCATTATAAACCTAAATACCTTGAGATGATATCTGTTGTTTCTCTTAACTATCTAATTTTGTTGAGGAGTTTCAACACAGGAACTCAAATGACAGATACTATTCTTTGCAAGGTTCTCCAAGGATAGATTTAAAGTATTATTTTACATTAATAGTTTGAGAATCTAAATTTTGCATTGGAATTGAGTAAAAATCACGTTATAAAAGGATTGAAAAATTTGTGTAGTTTTCATTTTTTCTTCATGAGGAATATCCAATTAGTTCTAGTGTTATCATCAATAAAGGAGACAAACCATTTAGCTCCATTGATTGTTTTCAATTTTGATGGTCCTCAAATGTCAATGTGGATAATATGGAAGGGTTGTAAGGTTTGTATTGTGATAAATGATAAACATGACAAGTATTCCTATTCAATTGTCAGGTTTCACATCGATGAAACTCTGGATTTTTATTAATGAAAAGATGAGGATAGAACTTTGCAGTATAACGAAAATTAGGACAATCAAAATGACAATTTCATAAAAAAACTTGACACTCAACAAACTCAGACACAATAGACTTGGGAACAATAGTCTCAGGAATATGGGAAGAAGATGGTGAAGAAGAAACTCATGTATTAAGAGAATAACTTTGCTTCAATAGGTATAGACCTTGATGCAATTGAACACTTCTAATCACCTTCTCTTAATCCTCCACATGAAATTCACAAGAGTTAAGAATAAAATTTATTAAAGCAGTTCCGGTCATGATTAATCTTGCTAATTGAAAGTGAGTTGTAATCTAATTGGGGAACCGCTTTCCCAACAATTTGAGAGTGAGATCCACCGGCAAGTCTAACAAATATTGAGCTGATAAACTTTTGGAAGTTGGTGAGAGAATGAATATCTCCAGCTATGTGATAAAAAACACCTAAATCTATTATCCATGGTCGAAATCTCTCATTGTTAGTGAGATAGAAGAAGAACACTATACCTTGATATATCAATAAGTTGGTAGGTTCCTCAGTTTTGCTCGAAAGAAGTTTCTTCAACATCTACAATTGTTCCTTAGTGAAAGAACTAGGTTCAACTAACTCTTCAGAAGTGGTAACAGCATAGGCCTTACGGTCTTAGTCTTTTCTCAATTGCCTCGATTTTCAATTTGCAAGTTTTTCATGTAGTTTCCAACACTTGTTTTTTTGTGATTAGGTGTTTTGCAATGTTCACACTAGAGATGATTATTCTTTATCTTTGACTCATTAGAAGAGTTCTGTGAATACAAAGCAGAACTTTCAGTGCTAGCTAAATCTACTCTTCTTGCGATCACGAGATTCTTTCTGCTTTCTTATCTTCAAACTTTAGCAAAGGCTTTCCTAGTGGTAGGCAGAGACTTTATCCCCATGATTTTTCATTTGACCTCATCTAAGTTCTTATTGAGTCACAATAAAAACTTGACCATCCTCTACTTTTCCTCTATTATTTTATACATCATGGTATCTTGAGGACACTTCCATACATACTTATCATATAAATCTAATTGTAACCAATATCTGGAT